TCATCTTCATCACTGAAGAATCAGTTTAAACCATAAACTGTGTGGTTCGAACTCCAGACTGCTAAACAAACTACATTTCTTTGATTCCCTTTAACTTTAGACTCTTCAATTTTCAAACTCATGAGAGCCGAGATAGACGAAGAGAAAACGAATCACCATCTCGGGAGCCCCGGGTCTGACAGTTTGTGACTTATTTCGTTTTTCTGGGAAATAATGGTTTTCACGGAGAAGTCGAAAATAAATATCTGCTTGTCTTTTTGATTTTATATCATTTTATGTCTTTTTGATTTTAAATTGTTATTATCTCTCCTTTTAAATTTTTTTTATGTATTTCCTTGCATCTGTAAACACTTTGAATTGCCTTGTGCATGAATGGTGCTATACACATAAACTTGCCTTGCTTTACCTTTAGCTGTTGTATGAATAACTTGCTGATTATTTATGGAGGTTTCACCTATCTGTTAACATCCGGGGACAATGTGAGCAGTACAAACTCTAATTGTTGGATTCAGTGTTGTTTAATATCCCTGAATACTCAATGTTTAAGAGAGTCTAGACACTTGATTACCTCACAAAACCAACAATTCAACTCCAAACTAATCCTTAATATTTAGAAATCCAGGGGAATCTTACATACATTTTATGAATACATGGATTACTCTCTCTGGAGTACCTCCCCCACCACACAAGCCATTATGGAAGGTGTTGCAAACTCCTCTCATTAATACCTGGCCAAGTCTCTACTGTTCCTCCTGTACTCTCCAGAAATGGTTATCGGAGCACGCTGCCCTTGAGACAGTGCACAAGGTTGGAGGAGAATCTGGCTGTGTAAACCTCCAGGCTGTCCTCCAGCAGCTTCACATGAACCAGTTAATTCAGATTTTGCCTCTATACCAGATGCTTGGCTGTCCTTTCTATGTGCTAGCGGTCGTCACTTACTAAAGTCACTTACTCTGTAGTTTTGAACTGAGAAACTACCCCTAAGGCAAAGAGGAAAAAAGTCACCCCCTTACTTTCTGTATGAGAAAATTCAACTTCTATATCTATCCATAAATCTGTCTTCTGAACTGAATGTCTGTTACAATCTGGTACTGATAGGATCTAGTTTCTGCTAAACTAGACATCTACAGAAAACTCATCCTGCAGGATTATACTCAGCATTATCGTGATCATGACCAAATGCATTTCACATGCAAAACAGGACTCCTACCACACATTTGATCTGGTTTAATGAAGATCGTGTGATATCTGAGATTAGAATGTGTGGGCGCTGAATTATGGACTGCTAGATGTAGAAATATATACCCTCACACTATACTGTGAACATAAAGCGTCTAAGTATGGGAGATCTGTCTTCTTTCGTCTCCAAATGGAACTTTTCCGCAGAGGTTTTGCTTTGAGATCACCTGTGGTGACAGTGAGTCACAATGCTATAGCCCTAAAGTGAAGGCATAGAGGGAATCTGTGATTTTGGACCACATGCAGGGTTTAATTTAACAACTCTGTGATCAGAATGTCAACCATTTTGCAAGTTTCCCATCTTTCTTACGACTGCTGGGGGAGCATCACACTTTTTTATGACTCAGCTGTACAAACTGTGCAGGGGCTCTAATACGTGGCCGTTCATTTCATCATTACATGCATCACAAGAGCTTCATCGGGGATAAATAGAAATGGCGTTGAAATGAGTGTTGAAGTCCTACGGTTTCCTTTGCAGAAGCATATCTGGTTAGTGTATGTCTTTGTAATTTATTTTGTAATACTGCTGTTTGTCCACTAGGGTGCAGAACAGAACAAAACAGACACTGTTCAACAAATAAATTCAATGTAAAAATACCCAGGCCCTCCACATATTATTCATTGTGGAGACTTGATGCTGAAAGTGTTTTTTTTTTATGTTTTATTTTAATGGTTATCCCGGCTTTCATCAGTCAGTCATGATCTATTGTATGTGGATATTTGCTCGAAAGGTGAGTACAAACCAGTAGAACATATTTATTTAGTTTATGATGAAGTAGCTGTACCCAGCTTACATTAGACAAAGTCATACATCAGATTATTTGCTTTGTGTTCCAGTTTTACTGCACAGCCCTGCAGAATTCAAAATCTGCTTCCTCAACTTTGCTCATTTTTCTGCTCACTCTCCTTTTGTTTGCAGACTTTTTACTCATTCGCTCTTCTAGCCCTCTCAGCAGCTTTTCACCTGTCTGAAAATATGCATGTCTTTGCATACCCTCTCTTTCCTCTCTCTCTTTTTTTTTCACACATACTCTCTCTCTCACACACGCACACAGGCAGACAGACACACAATGTCCACCACAACTCTCCATGGGAGAGTTCTGTCATGCTCTGTAGATTGGGTGTCCCAGGGTGTTTAACTATTGATACAGAGCTCAAGTGACACACCTGATATCTGGAGGGGAGGTGGGGTAGGTGAAGAGGGAAAGAGGGAGGGGGCAGGGAGAAAGAGAATAGCAGAAGAAGAGCAAGAGGAGAAGGGAGAAAGAGAGAGTGAAACCGAGAGAAACGAAGCATGGGGGCAAAGATGGGAGGGAGACACAAGTAAAGATATAAATGAAGCCAACGTGATAATTCCAACTCTCAGACTTGCTGTTCTGACTGGACAGCCAAGCCAATGCCCAGGTCCTGGTAGCCAACAGCAGAGCAGCATATCGTGATGAGTCAGGGCATAGTTGAGGAAATGGGAAGCAGAGGGCTGTGGATGTATTGAAAGAATCGAACAGTGTGTAGCAGATATTCGCACAAATGGTTCACTGTCAAGAAAGAAATATCCTATTGTCTTAAACTACACACATCATGGTTCCACTCTCAACCCCCCATCTCTCCGAGAAATTACTGAGCATTCCCTCCAGTTTATCAGCGCATGTGCATGTGTGTTTACTCCGTCAACAGACCTGCCTTTCTTAGTGACCGTTGGGTTCCTGTGTCAGCACATTTACAATGAACTCAGCCCCTAAACTCTTATCTCCTCCTCTTTTCTGCCTGATAAGCATCTGTCCCTTTCTTGACTGTTTACAAGCAGAAACATTACCCAAATGCTTTCCCCACCCTGCCCTGCAGGTGAGTTAAAACAGCATGACAGCTTTTCCCACATCTCAGGGTGTGTATCATGTATACTCTGTTGTATTTTCTCAACAATCCATCTGGTCCTTCTTCAACATGGAGTACAAATTCTGTTGATGTAGATAACACAACACAAAACACGCCTGTGCAAACAAAGGTATGGTGCAGATGGTGTTGGTCATGTGGCTCAGCACAACAGTTTGCTGAGGACTGCTGATTACATTGCTGATTGTTGGCATGTATTGCAAAGAATTGTGGGCAATGTGGTTTTAGAGGAAAAACATGCTGCTCTAGGAATGCTACCTTCGAGCCCTTAGTCATCAGTCTAAGGGCCTACACCCACACACACAAGGTGAGTAAACATACAACAATGAAGTTTATGTGAAAATGTCAGTTAAGGGGATAATAAGTGACAATACCACCATAGATTTCTTAAACAAGAGTGAGTTCAATATCTGTAATGGGCAGTTGTAACTGGAGGCTTAATTCATGGTGATTTAAGACAAATCTTGTCATGAATATTTCCTGCTGAGAAGTAAAAGGAGGGTTAAAGGATCAGGGTTCACAGTGTTGTAAACCGCATCATTTCAAACATATCCTATGCAGCAGTTACAGACACTATAAAGGAGCTGCAAAAGAGAATTGTTAGCAATATTGAAGCCAGTAAAATGTTGTAATAAGTAGCTTATAGCTACTCTTTAACAAATGAATAAATCATTTACTCAAAGTTAACACAGGAATTACTACTTATCAGCCTTTAAACAAGTAAGGCTTGTTATCAACTTTTAGTCGATTTTCACTTATTTGTGGCATCTTTCATTTTTACGACTCGAATAAAAGAATAATCTGAAATCATTTTAGTGGCAGGGAAACTATGCTCAACATTTATTTTGATATTGTGAAATGTGAAATTAACCCTCTAGTTGATAAAACTCGGGTGCTATGGTGGCCTTTGGGGACACGAAGCTCTTTTAATGCATGATTATTGCTATGACCCTCCTTTAAGGTTTTTCTAATTAAAAAACAACAACAAATGAAGAAAAAACACAATACACATTCTGATGCACACAACAATCTCTCTCTCTTTCCTTCTTCCAACTGGCTGATGAAAAACTATAGGGCTTATTTGAAAAAAAATTATATTAAGTGTATTATACGCGTAATATATTGGCGGCTTTCAGTTTTTATGGTCCCTGGTTGTGGAACAGCCTGCCAGAGAGCCTCAGGGCCGCAGACACTGTTGATGTTTTTAAGAAGAGGCTCAAGACACACCTTTTTAACCAGTCTTTTCACTAATTGCCTTTTTATATTTCTCTTATTGCAAATATTCATTTTAATCAGAGTTCTTAAAGTTGAATTTGAATTATACACCAGTTTTAATAGCTGCACTTATTGCCTCCTGCTAAATGACACTAATACTAAACTTACACCTTAAAAACATCATTTAAGAAAAAAAGACAGGCCTTGTTTAGTGCATAACTACATGATTTATGTTGTTATAGTAAAGCTGTGGGATGGACTGATTAATATTTGCCTAGAGGCTACACCCACTGACTCACCACTCACCACAATGTGTACCAAAGGTTTAGCCTAAACGTAATTTCTTAAATGTAACGATACAGAATTTAGATTTCTCCTCAGAGATAATATCCTTATACAACCTTATAAGTATCTCATGATCACTAAACTGCTCTATCAGAAATGTTGCTCGGTTGGTCACCTTTACGCCCGTGCCACTTACAGCCCATATAGTGATACACAGTATCAATGGTGTCACCTGTTGCGGAGCATCCGCATGAGCCGATACTCCACCCTTATTTTTCTTTCTAGGCCAACTACAGTCAGTTTTTTTCCTCCTCTCTCATTTCTCCCTCCCTTCTCCATCTTACAACACGCTGCTAGCCCCGCCCTCCACCGCCCCCATGAGAGGAACTTCGACTTTTATGTTCCCTCTGCACATCTTCGATACTCGGGGACCCATTTTACTTTAGCCCTCACCACTTTTATTTTTGTGTTTTCTCTGCCCTGCACTTTTTTTAAAACCCGGTTTGAGTAAATTAGGACTCGTACGGTTTCACCCCCACCCCTACTTGGCTACATTCAAGTGACAAGGTAAGGCCAAACAGGTTAGCTGGGTGCTTGAGGTAACAGGTTAAACCTACTCAGTCAATACACTTCTACTTTCTCTTTCGAGTTTTTTTTTCTTTTTAAACACGGATGTAATTTTAAAGAGTAACTTTATAAAGCTGGAACTCACAGCTGGTTATTTTCATTGAAAGCTCAGGTGTGTCGGAACCTCCTGGGACGCACCTGTGTAGCAGGTTGCTGTGTTGCGTTCAGGTCCTTTGACAATTATCCTTGGAGGAAACTAAGCTTGATAACGCTTCATGTTTCAGTGGTGGGTTTGATTCCCTCACCACTTTATCTTCTATATATGATCTGTGATTTCTTTTTCGGTGGGATGCTGTTTTCCATGATCGTATTTTAATATATGAGTTGAAACGTTTTTGATGCAAATTTTCTTGAATTTGTTGTGAAAACAAAAAAACAAAACAAAAAAACTCCATGGCTAATGCGTTAAATGTTCTTTCAGCCATGGCACAGGCATTGAAATGGTTAAGTTGTTTGTCAAAGCACCAGATACTATCAGCAGAGAAGAGAGAAAGAGAGAGAGAGAGAAAAAACAGCTTTGAATCTGGAGTTGAGAATTGACAGACTATTTTTTTAAATTTTCAAAATGTGAGGTCCTACCTAACATGTGAACTGACAAGGCCAGCTCCATAGAGATTAATTTGTCCTCAAGGGATCCTTTGTAGTGGGTTTTTGATGATCAAACAGCCTCTGTGTGCGTTTCACGAGGTGTGCCTTTACCTGAAGCCTAAACTTGTTAGAAAGGATAAAGGCGTTAATCACACCTAGATTAACTACGGCTGTCATTCTTGAGAGGCTGTTTACTTTTGCATTAGAGGTGTCAATTTTGGATTCATAATGTCAGTCATTACTTAAGTAATGACTGCGGTGTAGTTAGACTTGGCAAAAAAAGAAATTAAAAAACTATTTTTAGGAAATTTACCTTCCCTTGCCCTCACGTTAGTTCCTCCTCATGGCATTATGTGAATGAGATATTGTTGATTGTAACTAGATACTGCCTGCCTTTTTTTTCCTCTGGTGTTTTATTTGTTGATTTAGTGCCAAAACTATTAACTGTAGGAAAGAAGGAGCCAGTCCAACCTGTTTTTGTGTCTTGATGGTTGTGGTGTGTGTGATAGAGGTAGTATGGTTATCTAAAAGCCAGAGGGAATAGTTTTTAAAGTCCCCTCAGGATGCAAAGAGAAAACATCAAATGTGAGGAAATAAAACTGGCAGGTTGTGTGCTCTGAAGTCGCAGCTAAACCGGCATGTGGCTAACAGGTCATGTGGGAGGTTTTGCTCCTCATGCCAGAGGCTAAGTAGACCATGTTGTGAGGGCATTTCTGTCATCCTTACGTTTAAGGAGGAATCTCAGTGAGTGACATGTGAAGAAGTCTTCATTTATACCCTTTATACAACTTTTTAAAGATACTGTTAAAACAAAAGGAGTGTGCAGAAACTATGTTGCCATAATAAACAGCCTCTCATCTGCCTTGGCATGGGAAGAGTCACATGTTTTTTTTTCCACTTTCTTTGTGTTTTCTCCAAAATACAAGATCTAATGACACCGACCTTTATCTTTACTTATCTATGAGGTGAAGAGGTTAACTGACTTACCTCATCTACAACTAATGTCTTCTTTGAGCTCATGGGCCTTTGAGATTATTGAGCGCTTTGTAGCCTATGTTTAAATGCAGCCACCAAAGCATATATATTGAAAGAGAGAGTTATTTTGCAGTTATTTTGTCACTATTTTACTGTTCATGGGTCTATCTTAAATCGCAGGCCCCAGTAAGGTATACATCATGGTGTAGAGGTTGAAGAGAACAATGTGTCTAGACCAACTAGGCCCTGTGTATTGTGTAGTATTACCTCTACCATTTCAATGCTTGAAGCCTATAGCTAACCTGTCGTCTGGTGGATTTGCCCTTCAAGAGACCCCATTTGGCTTCCTCCTTGGCAAACAAACCTAAGATAAGTTAGTCACACTCCATTTGAAAGATAGGAGGCAGAATAAACAGCTTGGTCTGACTTGTATTTGATTTAATATCAGCTCTTTAAAAGTCAGATTTACTCTCAGTGTGATGGGTTGAGATAATAAAGCCTCACTGAGCACGCAGCAGGGCTGCTCCTCCTGCTGTGCTTAATGTAGATCAGGCTAGTGTAGATTATGGTATTACAGAGGAATAATTACTGTTGTAAGCAGCTTGTATCACTGCTAATGGATGAAAATCCTTCCTGTGGAAGCTGTAATTGGCAAGATTTTCTGTTATACACAAAATGAAGCAATATGAAGTCAGTGAATTTCAGATGAGATATGTGTTAAGTGGTAGTTAATGACACAAAACTACCAATCCACTTGGTTTTGCATAGTTTACTCATTTGTGATAAAGTCTTTAAAAGTTTCTTTTGAGTGCTTTACTTCTGAAAAGTTGGTTTAGTTTTGGAATTGAGCTAATTGACTTGAAGCAACCCAGTTTAGTGAGAATTCAAATGTGAAACAGCAATAACACTTTTTCTGCTCAACAATATGAGCCAAACAAGTTGATTTTCAATGCACTGTACTTAACATTTGACAGGTACGAGCGTTCAAATTGAGCATTTCTTTACAGTATGGCTGACTAAATGACAGCAGAATCTGTGTTTTAGATATGAAGAGATCGGCTATCTTTTGTCAGTATTAAAGGAGAAACAAGGAGAAACAACAGAGGAACCACATTTTGAGAAATTCTGTAACAATGATGCCATTTTTGTAAGATCAGTATATTAATAATTTCACTTAGTTGATATCACCCCAGGCTCTCATTGTCCTCAGTAACTTCCTGTTTAGCTCTGCCTCTGCCTCTTTCAGGTCCACGTTGTCTTCATCCAGTTCAGCCGGTCATTATGTGTCCTTCAAGTTTCTCAATCTAGATAATTTCCTCAGCCCTCAATGTGTGCTGCGTAACCAGACCCTATTGTCAGTAACTTAAGTCACGAAGCATCAGTCCCCAGTAGACAGCGACCGGTTTCTATGGTTACTGTCAACAGTCTGGCTGTAGAAGTGTTTGAAACACTATCCTGAGGACAATGCTAAACAAAATGGCCGCCACCTTCAGTCCACTTCCTACCAGGCCCCAGCTGTTGGCTATAGGAACTTCATATTGGAGATTGACAGGTGGTTGATACTCTACTTGACAGCGTTAAGATGCTGTCAGGGATAGTTAGCAGAATGACGTCATTCAAGACATTTGATATAGACTTGTCAAGGCAGTCCTCTTTAATCTACAGTATTTCAGAAATCTACACACACACACACACAAGGGCATTCCAAGCCCAAACAGGGAGCAAGGTTCATGGAAAGTCATTACTATATTTTCATCTAGAGGTCAGCTCTTTTATGAAGGTGTAACACCCTCTGGAATGGGTTACTCATTGCAAATTTGAAAGCGGACTGATTTATGGACCTCCATAAAAAGGTCTGTGGTGTAGACGCACCGGAGAGAGAAGCTGACCGATTGTAGGCATATAGGGCACAGGCTGAGATGGTGCTATGATAATGGGTCTTTGTATTTGGGTTTGTGAATAGAGAGGCCGGAGGTTTAGAATGACGTTGGTGCTACCCACACCATGTCAGTGACGGCTGTGCACAGTGAGAGTGGTAGGATGAAGGGGTGGAATCAAAATATGGAGAAAGAAAGGCAAAGGGAAATCCAGGCAGGATAGAAAAATCGAACCCTACGCTTCTTGGTCTGTTTAACAGAACCAAAGAGTAAATGAGGTCGAGCTTACTGACATAAAGTGTTTCCCTCTTTCATTTTGAGCGACTGAGGAAAGATGGGCCAGTGTGAAGTTCAAAAAGTGGATGAGTTACAAGATTAAACCTGATAAATTATGACTTTGGGCTTGGATGTCACACATTAACATCATTCTTCTATCTCTCACTCCAGCCATGCTACTACCCTCGTCACTACTCCTCCTCCTCGGCCTCCTCACCTGGAGTCCCAGTGCAGCATGGGCAGGGAAAGTCATCGTAGTACCGCCCATTATGTTTGAATCCCACCTTTATATCTTCAAAACTCTGGCCACAGCGCTAAACCAGGAGGGCCATGAGACCCATTTCCTAATATCAGAGGGACGTGAAGTGCCCCCCTCCCCTCACTACCACTTACAACGCTACCCGGGAATCTTCAACAGCACCACAGCTGATAATTTCCTCCAGTCCAAAGTGTCCAACATCTTCTCAGGCCGCCTTACTTTTCTAGAACTGTTTGACATCCTTGACCACTACTCTCAGAACTGTGATGCCGTGGTCGGTAATGCTGAAGTAATGACCCGCCTGAAGGAGGCAAAGTTTGACCTGCTGCTAGTGGACCCTAATGAGATGTGTGGTTTTGTGATTGCACATATCCTGGGTGTGAAGTATGCTGTGTTCAGCACAGGCCTGTGGTACCCTGCTGAGGCTGGTGCCCCAGCCCCACTTTCATATGTACCAGAATTCAACTCTTTGCTGACAGACAGAATGTCTCTGCTCCAGAGGATCACAAACACAGCTGTTTACTTGGTGCAGCGCTTTGGAGTCCATTATATTGCTTTACCCAAGTATGACCGGATTATGAAGAAGCATGGAGTGAAGCCCCAGGTAGCCATGGCTGACCTGGTGCAGGGCAGTCGGCTGTGGATGCTGTGCACTGACATGGCTCTGGAGTTTCCTCGCCCCACCTTGCCCCATGTCGTGTACATAGGAGGGATTCTTACCAAGCCCCCTAACCCACTGCCACAGGTCAGTACAAGCACACACACTCACACTGAGTGAGCTAACAAGCATGTGATGAAAAGATGTGAACAAGCCTGAGTTTCTAAACCTTTTGTATTATTGTGTCCTAACTGAGGTGTTGAGAGAGTGAGTGTGGTCTGTAGATACGATCAAAGTGTATTTATTTTATATCACATCTATCAGTGTTATCAGTATGAGTGTCAGGTTAAATGAAATACTTGATACATATGGATACTTTATGTACAGATACAAACAACAACATGTTCAGTAGAATTCTATCATCAATCAGTCCTGCTCAGTTAGGGGTTAGGATTAGGATAAGGGTTAAGGTTAGGGTTAGAGTTAGGGTTAAGGTTAGAGTGAGGGTTAGGGTTAAGGTTAGGGGTTAGGGTTACGGTTAATGTTAGAGTTAGGGTTAGGGTTAAGGTTAGGGTTAGGATTAAGATTATGGTTATGGTTAGGGTTAAGGTTACGGTTACGGTTAGGGTTAGGGTTAGGGTTATGGTTAGGGTTAAGGTTAGGGCTAGGGTTAAATTTAGGGCTAGGGTCAGGGTTAAAGTAAGGGGTTGGGGTTAAGGTTAAGGTTAGGGTTAGAGTTAGAGTTAGAGTTAGGGTAAGGGTTAGGGTTAAAGTTATCTTATGGTTAGGGTTAGGGTTAAGGTTAAGGTTAGAGTTAGGGTTAGGATAAGGGTTAGGGTTTGGGTTAAGGTTAGGGGTTAGGGTTAAGGTTAAGGTTAGGGGTTAGGGTTAAGGTTAAGGTTAGGGGTTAGGGTTAAGGTTAGGGTTAGGGTTAGGGTTATGGTTAGGGTTAAGGTCAGGGGTTAGGGTTGTGGATAAGGTTTGTTCAATCCTACTCCAAGAAAACCAAACCAAATATGAAAAATGGTCCATTATGACCCACATTGCCGAAGAACATTTCTTGAATAGTAACTGCAGTGTAAACAGATTAATGTCCAACCACAATATGAAGAGCTCTGTTTTAGGTGGGGCTCTATGTGGTTCTTGTCAGAAGTAAACGTTTCACCCTCAGAGGAACCTTTGTGATCTGAGCCCCCTTGTTAAAAAAAATGTAACCCAAACATGAATGTAAGTTTAGGTTTGGTAGAAAAATTTCAGCGCTCTACTCTGCTTTAAGAATACTGATTTGTTCCGGTTAGGGTTAGGGTTAGGGTTAGGGTTCAGCACTCTACTCTGCTTTAAGAATACTGATTTGTTCCGGTGCTATTCTCAGGTGTCTCATTTGTTCCTCCACCTGTTGCGCACTGATCTGCTTTTACCTTGTTCAATTCTGCTTCAAGAAAACCAAACCATCCCTTAAAGCAAACTATATTTCATCACATTTAAACGCAGTACTATGGAGCCTCAGCTCTTTTGTGTGAGCAGTAAACACTCAGCAAACAGGGCAAGTTCTTCTAGATGTAAATATATTTGTTTTCATGTGTCCATGCAGAGCCCCTCAGGGCTCTATTCTGAGTGCTGGAACATCAGATAAGAACTCTTTCCTTGGTGATCAGAGCACTGAGGTACAATGGTTGATTCATGGTGACCGAGTTTGACTATGACATAATGCAAAATGTGTGGCTCAATGGAGAGCTATGTTAATTATGTGTCACAATGATGCAGGAGATACTTATCCATTTGTATTAAAAATAACAGTTGAAAGACATTTTTTAAAATCTGTCCCATCATCTGTGTTTTGCACGCGATAACAGTGTCTCTGAAGGCTTTTAAATAACAAGAACCAAAGAAAACTCTGCACCTTCCTTAATTTTTCAGCCTCACTGACAAAATTCAGTTAAAAATTACAAAGCCAAATCTTTTTGGCAATGCAGTCGTGACTTTGATCCAGAGAAAATTGTGGATGGATGGGCTTAAGTCGTACCTTTTCACACTCACTCACAAATTCTTCTATTGGGAAGCTTATGGGTAATTTATTATTAAGAATAGCCTCACACTTATCCTCATATCCTGTCCTAACAGATAAGTATGTGTCCACCCTTGCTGGTGCCCATTGTCCCTTTCATCTCTTGTATCTGTCCTCATTGTCTATAAAGCACTCCTTTATAGATGATGCTGGGGTGAGGATGGGTTTGTCTTGAAAAGACACTGTAGATTTTTAAGCAGGGAGGGGAGGGGAGTCATGAAGAGCAGAGGCGGGCGGTGACGGGGGGCTCGGTCCAGCTAACGCTCAGACGCCAAGAGCGAGGAGCGTTGGTATCCACTGCGGGGGGTTTTGGAATGCCACCCTGGCCAATAGGGAGCATTGTGCTGCGCTGTGTGGACGGAGTTATAATGGAAGTGGAGGGAGAACGAAACCATTGTTCCAGGCAGTACTCTGGGGACACTGAGACTCTTATGGGGTCACTGAGGCTGCAATGTGGGGACAGTAGAGCCCAGTGTGCCCCTGAGGTTGCTCCGTGCCAGGGCCAACCACAGCTGGACTGTTAGCCACCCTCCCTCTACTCATCCCCCGCTTCTTTCCTTTCCACCATGGCTGCTCCCTCATCTTCTCTCACCCCGGCTCACTCCAAAGTTTTCATCCACGGCTGTTCTCGTGTCGTGGCTCTTTTTACTGCTCAAATATTTGAAAGGCTATCCTCCAATTCAATGTTCAAAGTGGACTTAAGTGTAAGCAAGTCATAAATATTTCATGTGATAGCTGGCTTCTAATGAGGTGTGCGTTGTAAATTATACTAATCAGCAGTGCTGTTAGTTCAGGACACATATGTCCCTACACATAACACAGCCTACTTAGCCCACAGTGTATTATATTATTTATATACACAGCAGGATCTATTGAATCAATCCAGGTAAACATTTGTTTATCCGTCGAGGTTTTTCCATACCCAGCTGTCATTTTTTACAACACTAACTCGCTCGAATTGTCCGTGCTTATCGTGGACAGTCATAGACAGGATGTAATGTCCGGTGATACTTTAGGGACATCATCATGACACAAAGCTGGGCATCAAACTCAACTCATCCTCATCAAATCCTTACTTGCAGTTCTTCGTCATACATTTATTCAGCAGCTTCATGTATTATACATTCTGTGTCTTGCTTGATTACTCCTGTGTCAGACAGTTTTCTGGAGGAAAAAAAAAAACTAGATTTGAATATTTTTGATTATTTTGACAATCAGGTGCTGAAATAGAATAACCATCAAAGCACTCCTCAAATGCTGTTTCTTATTTCAGCTTATCTGAGCAGAGAAACTTTGTACTCTTGTTCATTGATAAAGCTCCTCAGTAATGATTTGTAAGTCTTGACTCTCCCAACATGTATCTGTAAACCTGTAAATCATTCAGGACATGCATGTGAGGAAAAACACACTTAAGTAATTGGTAAAGTCTTGACCCATTTAGCTGCGGCGGAAAAACAAATAAATATAGAGACTAGAGTGCTCAGAGTCCCTGTTAATGGTCTGTTATATTGATGTTTGATATAGAGCTCAGCTGTTTCAATGACCCAATATGGTGAAACGCGAGAGTTATACTGCAAAAATCAAGGAAGTTACAACATACTGCTCCATCTAGAGCATATGTTGACTGTGCAGCTTTATTTATGAGGTTTTTTTTTTAGTGGAACAGTGTATTTTTGTGGCTCTCATTGTCTGTCTCTAATGTTTTGTCAGGACTTTGAAGCATGGGTGAATGACACAGCGGAGCATGGCTTTGTGGTTGTGTCATTTGGCGCCGGGGTCAAGTACCTTTCCCATGACATCGCTCACAAACTGGCAGGAGCCCTTGCCAGGCTGCCTCAACGTGTTGTCTGGAGGTAGGTTTTCTCTCCCTTCACTCAGACTGTACTCAGCTTTCACAATGACAGAGTCATCAGTGAAGTTATGATGAAATGTCATTTTCAGCTCATTTCCCATCTAAATTAAAGACAACACGTCATTCCACTCAAGAGACTATAGTCCATGTTTCCACCTCTGACTTATTCTGGGGTTTTAACTGAAATCATCACCAACAGCTGATTCTAACCTCTGACAGTAGTAGTTCACATCAGTGGAAACTTAAAAGGGATACTCCGGCGTAAAATTAATTTAGGGTCAAACACACCGAGTTAGACACCCTCTTGAGAGATGAGTGTTGCCGACCGCTTGCTTCTCTAGTTATACCAACTTTAGAAACAAATGCATGATAGCAATACACAGTGGTCTGAGGAGCCATGAACAAACCTCAACCAAAGCGCCACTCTATAGCCACAAATAATGCTCAGAACAGCACCTAACTTCATCAACAGTACATATAGGGTCCCAGCCATAGTACTAATCATGAAACATCTTTTTAACTTTGACTAATTTCTTTAGCAAAGAGACTAAACACAACTCACCCACTCTCTTTCAGCAGCTGCTTGTTTTTAGCCCGACCTTAGGCCAGTTCATTACAGACTACATCGGGGTGACGCAGCTCAAAGAACATTTATGATCATTTCTTTATCATTTCCTTGAAGTAATAATCAGCATATTAATCATTTTGCACTGCAGACGCGATAGTTAATCTGTCTTAGCGTCTCAGTCTGATTGCATTTCCACGAAGAAATGATCATAAATGTTCTTCCTTGAGCTGCGTCACCCCGCCTCAGTCAATGATGGACTGGCCTCAGGTCTCGCTAATTTTATTAATTTTTATTTTTTAATAATTAATTTTACGCTGGAATATCCCTTTAAGATAGAAACAACTATTGATGAATTTACATTTAAATAACCTTGCTTTTTTTCCTATGAGGAGCTTTTGATGCTGTTTGAATAGATACCATTTTTGTGGCATAAGGCCGCTGCTATACTCACAGAGAGAGCCAGATAAGCTATGAGCAATAAAATACAACACATCTTCTGTGCTAGTGTCCATGTTTCCATGTAAATCTCAAAGAAGATGACATCATTTAGTGCAGCCATAACAGGCTTATGATAGAGGAACTGGAAGAGTTCCTGCATGTTACAGTATGAATAAAACTCGCTTCATAAATTCTTGATGAGTAATCTAAAATGTTTGTCATAGCCCTGTTGTAGAAAGGAGTATGCTCGAAAGCTAAACTCTTGGGATTATTTACACGGCATCGATTCATTGTTCTTGACCTTAGCAGCGAAATGTGAATTCAAAGAGGAGGAAAGTGGCGCTGATAGAGGAGAAAAAACCAACAAAGAGTTTTAAGAGTGCTTTGAAACTCCAACCTGGACCTGTTAATACTTAACTCTTGTCTCTATATGTTTAGGAGTTTGTGATTTACCGACCTCATTCTCCCTTACAAATTTTGTTAAAATTCTTTACTGTAATCATCATCCTACAATAGAATTTCTGGATATGACAATCTTTTATGGTATGTCCAAACAGTGCATTATTTAAACTCACTGCTGGAACAAAGCGCGGCTCTTTGTGTGCACACATACTCTGCTCGCTCACCTGACTTCGGCTGTATACATTGAGGTAATGTTAGTTTAGGGGTGGGTCTGTGCAAAGGTTGTTAGCTGGTTCACCGGAGGAGGGGGGTTTACTGATACGAACACACTACACAGTTGACCTTACCATGATGTCATGCCTGACAGAAGGACCAGGTAACCTTTCATTAGGGATTTCTGAGACACATAATTACACTTTTGAAGCGATGAGCCGTTTATATCTTTCTGCTAGATCATGAATTCACTTCTGCTGAACTCATTTTTTGGTGTTTTGTGGATGTTTCTGTTTGCTTTATTGTGCTACAAAGACAATTTATGTTGAGACGGCTATATTGGGAGCACTGCTATCAAAAGTCAACCATTAAAAGTCCATGAAAACACATTCAAGGTGGGATTTTTTCACCAGAATGAGATAGATTACTTATTTGTTGTTGGCACGTAACTTTTGTTTTATTCTGATCATAGTTAGCTTGATGAATTTTTAACCTACATAGTTGTTCCATTAAATTTGCAAATGTGGCCTTTAGGGTAGCTGATTAAAATCTGAGTTTAAACGCTTTTTTTTTTTAAAGGTTAATTGTTTTTCCTGTTTTTATTATGTATTGCTTGGTTTTCTTATGCTTTCAATAGTTATTATCTATTTTATTGCCTTTATTCTCATTTTTTTAATTTACTTAGTTTTGTCTTATTTTGTGTTAAAGTTCTTGACTCTTTGTCGGTCTTTTATCACTTCAGTTGATTCCACCCTGCCTCTTTCACCCCTCTTGTAGTGCGTCATTACATTTCATTGCTTTTACTTCTTTTTTCAACTTTATCGACTCCTAACCTCACAAACGACAGAGACAACTCTGTTATACACAGGAATGAAGATAAGTTACAAAGCAACAGCCACCTGTTAATAGTAAAACCCTTCTGACCTGTGGATCACACGGCAGAGGGATCTTAACATCTAAACGGTTTAGTTATGACGAGGATTTACTCAATTTTGAAGGAAAGCTGTCAAATAACTAGAAAATCAACCCACCGTCAAAGGCTATACTTTGGTCAAACATGAACCATTTTACTGAGCTGAAGAAAAATTCACATAGTTAAATGTTTCTATGGTGTTTTCTAAAGTAATTGATCAACAGTTCAATCTTTTTGCCTTTGTAACACTGGGGTAATTTAGATATGTGACTTCTTATCTTTTGATGGTCAGAAACAAAGCTGAAGAAATGATTCACATGTTGCATACCATTCTCGGCAGCCCTCTGTGTGGTATGCTCAGAGCAAAGGGTGCACTATGAAGCATATTAGCTTTCTGCTGTTATCAAGGTAACTTTAGGGTCACCTCTGGAATTCCAGTCCGGTGAAGGTGGTTCACTTCTTAGCCGGGTGGATTACCATGATAATTTATGCTTCACTCTTAACCTGCTCCATTGCAGATTTGGGGTAATTAGATATAAAACTGTGTGTGCTTTTGGCTTGAAATAATTTTTTCATTTTCATTGAGACCATCTCCATATTTCTCTCCTCACTCTCATATCCTCAGGATTGCTGCTGGCTTTTCTTCTCTTATCTAGCATGTCCTTCTACATTTTGTTGATGCAGCTGTGTGATTTAACTCTGGATTATGTGTTAAGAATCAGTTATTAATAATAGTTTGCTCTATCCCACTGAGCATTTTTTGGTTTAAAAGAGGTGAACTGGACATCTAATGTAGCCTAGACGACTGGTCTAAAATCAGGCTACCACAGGTCTAAACATGAAAGTTTTTTAGACGTGTAAATTTAGACCAAGTTTAGTATAGCTGGCTAACAGAGGTCTACACTGTATATTGCTCAACGGCTTTCATAATTACTTTGGTTAAGTACTTGGAGATCAGTTATGCAACTCGCAGTTGCTTTTTGAAATAAATAGTTAGTTCAAATAATGGGTTAAAGTGCAACGTCTAAATTCCATCTAAAAATATACAGAATCTAGACGATTGAAATTAAGTATTAAAAAAAAAAACTAGACATCTAACAGCCGTCTATTGCTCAGTGGGATGTTTGCAAAACATGATCTGCAGATGGCAGACTCGGTCATGCCATATTGGTTGGATTTTGATTATATTGACCTCATTATGAAGACGCTCTCAGTATCTCTGCTTGATCTTATCAGGTTGATAACCAGCTTTGTGGGACCCATCTAGTGTAAAGTAGGTTAAGGTATCAGATAAGAAAAAGATAACATACCTAATATATGTTGAACTCGCTTTGTAATGTAGGTCCCGGGTGGAACAAGAAGACACACCATTGTATTTACTTTGGGGATGTAGAAACTAGGCAAGGAGCTGGGCAAAGTCTGGCATGATGTAGGATGACCAATGGTGGTTGCACTTGTTGTCAAAGAGCTTGTGGACAAAAGGTGGTAACAGGATAATTCACGCTTTTAATTTTGTAAGTAAGACAAATTAAAAAAAAAACCACCCCTTTTGTCAACTTATTATTAGAATTATTTAGACAATATAAATCTATTCAAGTATCTCACCAGGTGATTAAGAGCTTCCCATGCAAGCTCCAAAGCTTTGTATGAACATTCAACCATGTCGTGGCTGTAAGTGACTCTTCCAAACCGAGAGCGCGGAGAAGGAAGAGGGCCGATGTTAGGGACAGGGACCAAGTCAAGTGAATCGTGTCATTGATAATTGGCCACATGAATGTAGGCTTTGATTGGCAGGACAGTGAATTGGTGCTTTGTTACAGAGAGAAAGAGAGATGAAAGAGTTTGGGGGGAAGGACACAGAGATAGATGGATGGGGGTTGTAATGCTGCATGCATATGCGTTGTGTCTTACATTCGATGGGAAATGCTTCCGCTTACCAGCCATAAACTCCAGTGGACATTAACATAGTATTGTACACGTGCAGCCATGCCTATAGGACGAAGTCTGAAACTTGTGATTTAACAAGCACAAAGAGATCTATACTGAGTTCTCCTTATTTGACACTGTGCATCATGTAAATGAAATTGATTCACTTGGCCTCTTGAATGTATAGTGTCTTTTGTTCACACTACAGCATACTCTGTCCTCATGAAGCATGAATGGGGCCTAACCCAGAGCATGTGTAACAGTGTTATTTTAAGGAAATAATAGAGGAAATTACTGGAAAAATGAAAAAGAAGAAACTTGATCGGACAACATAGATCTAACGATAAAAACTCTAAAAAGAAGGGAAACCCCTAAGGAGGAGATGCTAACCCTTTTTATGTTGGAAGTCTGAGATAATGCCCTACCACCATTCTACTATTGTATTTTAACAGTGAATCTGAACAAGTGTGATACTGGTGTCCCAGAATATTATATTACATCATTGTGGAAGCAGGTGAGGCTTGACTATTAAACACAAAGCAAGAGCCTCAAATAAACTCTCAGTCATGCATAAACAAACAGTGCCCTGCTAATCTGCTGCTTGCCGTAGCTTTGTATTAACTTTTTTGTTCACATAACTGTGATGACTCACTTACACTATCACTTCATAACCCTTAAGTCCTTTTTGAAGATGAAACTATGAAGCCAAGCTTAAAGTAATTCGAGAACAGTATTAGCCAAATAACCCAGATTAGTCAATGAATAGTATCCAAAAATCTGCTTTCTTTCTTTCTTTCTTTCTTTCTTTCTTTCTTTGTTTGACCGACTTGCAAGTAGTAGCCTGCCCTGCGGTTTTCTCAGCCTTGTCTGCTCTCATCCCTTGTGTTGTATGCTTAAACATTGCTTTTGTACAAGTTATTGTAAGCACAGTTTGTGATTGGTTGTATTAAGTCTACAGAGTTTCTCTATATATTTGAATAACAGCATGAAAATGAGTCGATATTATAGTCAGAATTTCACTTTTTTTTTTTTAACAAATCAGTGTTAAAAAAGCTTAAACATATGAGTATTTCCCATCATTAACACAGGTGTTTAAGACTTAAATATAAATGTGTTTAGTACAGACACAAAGTTTGTTGTCTGACAAATGACTGGTTGTAACAATGACAGTTAAACTTTAACTTGTATGGAAATATACCCCAAGGGCAGTGAAAACAAAATGTTCAGCTGAAACCAAACAAAAGCTGACGGGAAAGTAAACCATTCAAAATGACTTTCAGTACAGCTCATTCTGTTGTTAATCTGCACAATACATATTAAATGAAGAAGTACATCCATTTCTAAACCAAGCGGTACTTGTACTCTGTCCCCTCAAGGTCACTGATGTTGAAATGTATTCAAAACGAGTGTTTAGAGTATCATACAAGCCACTCTGAGTAAATAAAAGCAAGAGAAATGTGACTTTTTACCTGCTGTTTACAAACCACAGTGTTACAGCTCTTTTCTTTATCGTTTTTCTTCTTTACTTCCTAGATTCTCTGGAGTTCCCCCCAGTAACCTTGGCAACAACACCAAGCTTGTTGATTGGATGCCTCAAAATGATTTATTAGGTGAGCATATCACGGGAACTGCATAATGTTTTCTTTGCCTTGTGGTTCGATTTCAAGGAAGTAAAACTTGCATTATGTAGTTTGTTTCTTTGAGTCATTTAAACTGGACCATGTTTTAAAATAGTTTTGCTTCCCTTCAAATACACCAGTGTTTTTTTTTTCTGTGGTTAGGTTCCTCCTTTACTTACTTATTAAACTCTGGGGTGTGGAATGTGAATGTGTTTACAAATTTGCAGACGTTAGAAATGAGGAATGTACGACTGCCTTTGTGTATAGACAGCTAGCATTGTCTACTGCAATGGTGTAATAGTGGCTTTGTCAGACAAGTCTGCAAACACTGCCTGTCTGGAATTTTGAAGGAATGGTTCACAGTTGACCCCGTCCATTCTTGGTTGAGTCTTACTCTAACATAGTATTTTTTAAGGTTGTGTAGTCCCCAAGTAGCTTAAAAGAAGACAAACATTTAATTTAAGCGCACAGTTTTATCACAACATAGTAATCCTCAGAGTGTTGGCATTGGTTTATGACTTTCAATGTTCTGTTTGTACTAAGAGAAAAAAACTCAAACTACAACTTTAATCTTTATTCTCATTTTTGAATCGAAATTTTGTCATTTAGGGTTTTTTTTTATTTTATTTGAGGACGTTTCTTAAAACTCTGGCGCAAATCACCTGAAATATAGAAAATCAACCCAAAAAACTTAAAGGGATATTCTGTGGTAAAATTGATTTAGGGTCAAACACACCGTAACGCCGAGTTAGACATCCCCTCGAGAGATGAATGTTGTCGACTGCTTGCTTCTCTAGCTATAACAACTTTAGTAACGACCACAGGATAGCAATACACAGCAGTCTGAGGAGCCGCAAACAAACCTCAACCAAAACGCCACTCTACAGCCACAAATAATGCTCAGAACAGCACCTAACTTCATCAACAGGACATATAGGGTCCCAGCCATAGTACTAACCACCAAACATCTTTTTAACTTTGCCTGATTTCTTTAGCAAAGAGACTAAACACAACTCACCTACTCTCTTCCAGCAGCCGCTTGTTTGTAGCGAGACCTTGGCCCAGTCCATGAAGGACTGCAGTGGGGTGACGCAGCTCAAGAAAGAACATTTATGATCATTTCTTTATCATGTCCTTGAAGTAATAATCACCATATTAATCATTTTGCACTGCAGACACGGTTGTTAATCTGTCTTAGCGTCTCAGTCTGATTGCATTTCCTGGAAGAAATGATCATAAATGTTCTTCTTTGACCTGCGTCCACCCACCGCAGTCTGTAATGGGCTGGGCTGAGGTCTCGCTACAAATAAGTAGCTGCTTGAAGAGAGTAGGTGAGTTGTATTTAGCCTCTTTGCGAAAGAAATTAGGGAAAGGTAAAAAGATGTTTGGTGGCTAGTAATGTGGCTGGGACCCTATATGTACTGTTGATGAAGTTAGGTGCTGTTCTGAGCATTATTTGTGTCTATAGAGTGGCGTTTTGGTTGAGGTTTGTTTATGGCTCCTTAGACCACTGTGTATTGCTATTGTGCGGTCGTTACTAAAGTTGGTATAACTAGAGAAGCAAGCGGTCGGCAACATTCATCTCTTGAGGGGGTGTCTAACTTGGTGTTGCGGGGTGTTTGACCCTTAATTAATTTTACGCCAGAATATCCCTTTAATAGTGAAAAAAACAAAAAACAACTAATAAACAGAACTCCTAATTTCCAAATCTACATCTCTCATCCCTTCTCTTATCCAGGCCACGCCAACATAAGAGCCTTCCTGAGCCACGGTGGCCTGAACAGCATCTACGAGGCCATGTATCACGGGGTGCCTGTGGTCGGCGTGCCTCTTTTTGGTGACCACTATGACACTATGACTCGTGTAGCAGCTAAAGGAATGGGCATCATGCTACATTGGAAGTACATGAGTGAGGAGGACCTGTACACAGCGCTGACCAGCGTCATCAAAGATAACAAGTAAGATTATGAAGATTATTTGCTCAGTTTCTCACTCACAAATGCTCGGTTATATTGATGTGGTTATCAGTGCCATCTGCTGACCACGTAAGGAATCATGACTCTGATGGAAGGGAAGCTATTCATTTTATTACCGGTTTTATTTCTCTTGCAAAAGTAATGTCTACTACACTGTACTGTTTGAACTGTACCAGCGGTATTTATAAACTCTGAAATCACTCCACAAATCATTTCCACAGGTGGTGAGTGAGACACCACTAATCTTAACGGCACCTGACTGAGATTTTCTGACTATTAAAGTCTGTGATGCTTTCTTTCCCCTTCACTATTTTTTTGTAAATAAAAATCCATGCCCCACATTTTCGTTCAGTTTTAATTGCATTTATCTTTTTTCCTTTATCTTAATCTTAAGTGTTTGCCTCTCTTGTTGTCTCCTTGCCATTTTTCCAGATTTAAACAGATGACAAAAAGTTAATCTGTCATCAGATTGGCATGACTTGTGTTTGTCTCGCAGTTTCAGAGATTAGATTTAACCTTGCTTAAGACTTAACCCACTGAGCTTTTTCGGTCTAAAAGAGGTCTAATAGACGTCTAAATGTAGCCTAGACCGCTGGTCTAACATCAGACTACCACAGGTCTAAAAATGAACGTTTTTTAGACGTCTAAATTTAGACCAAGTTTGGATCAAGTCTAAATCTGGGCTATAACTGTACTACACTGTATATTGCTCAACGGCTATCATAATAATTTTGTTTAAGCACTTAGAGATGAGTTATGCAACTCACAGTTGCTTTTTGAAATAAATAGTTATCGAATTATGGGTTAAAGTGCAACGTCTAAATTCTGTGTAAAAATATACAGAATTTAGACGGTTGAGTTTAGGACTAAAAAAGAAACCTAGATGTCTAATAGCCGTCTGTTGCTCAATAGGAAGAATTACATGATCAGCCATTCAGATCTGAGTATTTAACACAGTCTATCTCCTGTCTTTCACACATGGTAGCAGCCTCGTGAATTTACATTGCCGTGTCCTCTCTATATCCTCGTTTCACACCTGTATCTCCATCTCTCTAGGTATCGCCAGCAAGCTCATATCCTCTCCAACATCCACAAAGACCAGCCAGGTCATCCTGTGACCAGAGCCGTCTACTGGATTAGCTACATTCTCCGACACCATGGTGCCAACCACCTGCGCTCTGCGGTATATGAGATTTCCCCCTACCAGTACTTCCTGGTGGATGTGGTACTCACTGTAGGGGCCACCTTGGCTCTGATTGTCTTTGCACTGAAATGGTTGGGACGACTATTGAGGGGAAACACTGAGGACCAGGGCAGAGTAGGCAGTGTTGACAGGGATGACAGCAACATTGCTAATGGAAATTGCCATAGCGAAAGCATGCCCAATGGGAAACACAAACGCAATGGCTCCTTGAAAAACGAAAAGAAGATAAATTGATGTTTGAAACAGCCAGGAAGGACGAAGAAGAAGCCGTCCCAAGGACTCAGCTCTGGGATTGGTTTAGTGGTTTTTGTAAAAGCTTTGAAGAAAAGCTGTTCAGAGGTCTGCGTCAAAAGGCTGAAGGATGACAGAGCCAGGCAATGGGTGCTCAAAATCTGTGTGTGTGTGTGTGTGTGTGTGTGTGTGAGATGTATGTGTATGTGTGCTCTGAGGCGAATTTAACAAAAAAAAAAAAAACTCCTCTAACAACAGCAGCTACAGAGATACAACACCAAACTGGAAAGTCATTAGGGATGAAACAGAGGAAAGACACCGTGGAGGACACTGTCTCTTCATGTGTGTGTCCTCGTCAATGCTCTCTGTCTTCCTCACCCGTGGAAGGATAAAGAGGAGGAGAAACCCTGAGCGCCAACCCCTCACACTCTGAACAAAACAAGAAAACAGAAAAATAACTTTTGAATTATTTGGGATTTTGATGTTATAATAAGGTCTGGTAAAGTGTAAATAGAGGACAAATCTATTTATTATGACTGTACAAATGCATTTTAATGATGGACCTTTTTAACCTTAATCTCTTTTTTAATTTATTTCATGGTTATGTGGTATGACAGCATGATGGTAGACATACACTCCTTTCCCTTTAAGCTATCATCTTGTGACAGTCATCGTAAGCCTACAACTGCTTTCTACTCTCGCATTATCCACAGTATTCATGGTGGCTCTACATTCAAATTAAGAAAAGCATTTTTATTTCACTTTTCGCACAGGAGCGTCATTATTTGAGTGCGAAATGTCAAACTGTCTCTCCTGACTGTCAGTTAAAAGCCCCATAGAAACCTTTTTGGCGCACCAGCACGTAAAACCATGAATGTGTTATTATCAAAACACATAATTATGATAACTACCAAGAACGCTGTGGATAAACTTAGCCGGAACAGAAGTGTGCTCAGGCTCTTCCAGTCAGGTGATCGGGGATGAGTCAGAGCATTATTGATTCATGATAAGTCGCTCAGCTAGACCCGCATCTTAATTCTACATCCCTCTTCTATTTATTTATTCATCAGGAAGGATTCATCACTTGATTGCCATTTTTAGTTCTACACTTGACTTCATATGTCTCATATGTCCCTCCTGTGATTAAATCCATTCTTAACATACTGTTAGTCTGTTTGATTTAGATATTGAGGTTCATGTACAAACTGGGCAGACTCTGTTTAATCAAATTAACTGTGCAGGAATGATTTACACTATGTACACGGGCTTTTTTTTTAATGCAAACATTTGTGTATGAAGAATGCCTGATTATGTGTGTGTTATTGTTCACTGTACAGCTTCAGACTGTGTTTGTGGATGATACAGTGCAGGTGAGGTTTGCTTTTGCCCGCTGTGGGCTGTGTGTAAACAACCACTGGCTTTTGTGCTATTCTGTGAAGTCATCATTGAACTGAGTGTGTGCCCGTGCAAACGTCCAAGAGCCTGAAATTTGAAGATCCCTTTATGTAGCTTTTTTTTTTCTTTTTCCTTTTTAACATTTTACGAGTCAATTCACTCCATTTTAAGAGTAAAACTGAAAAGAGAGACTTGGTTTCAATAATGAAAGTAGACTACACTACTTCAACAAATATTAATATGTCAAAGCGGCACTGAAGTACAGAGTGAACTGAGAGTTTCTTGAGTTTCTGTTGAGATTTGGTGTATTACTTACAGACATTTGAGCAGGACGAGTGCTCGCGGATGTGGGACATCAAACCTTATGAGCAAGACATTTGTAGTCGGGCAATTTATTGAACCAACAGGCCCCACAGATACTGTGTTTTCACTCTTTTTATTTCAGCAGAACAGTCTACATTTTAAAAAGGTGAAAATTGCAACTCCAGAGGAAATTCTCTTATGTAAAGAAACACCGTGACTTAACCCTTTTTCAGTTGTCGAGGACCTAACATCCAACCAGCACGCTCACAGTATGTTCACACATCCTGTCTGATATTTAAGAAAAGCTTCCTGATCTCCTTTACTCTATGAGCTACCATTACACCTGCACAGGTTGACCCAGCCCTGCTGAAAACACACAGTTATACTTGAATCATCATCATTATCACTTGTAACAACTTCAGCTGTTGTTGGGAGCGGCGGGCGCGCCTGTAGGTGTCGAACAAGCTATGAACAGAGTCTAGGATAGAAAATATTTTTGAGGTTGTTACTCTTTGATTTATTATTTCAGTATTAATGAGGTTTTCCACACAGTTAAATGTCCATCCTGTACTGGTATGTTTCCATACTTACTCTAAAGTCTGATTCTTCTCTGTCTGTGTGACTGTTATTAATCATCTTGTTTTGTCCTGTTGTCAAAAGTGCACTTGCTGGTTCCAATGTCCACCTCTCTCTGTCGCTCCTGACGTCTTAACGCTCTCTGCCGTCTTTATCTTCTTTGTCTTGTTCCGTCATTCCCGCCCTCTACAAATTTGATGTCTTAATTTAACCTGCTTCTTTGAAAAATATTTCATTTTACTTTGATTATAAAATGACAAAGTCCTCAATTTCCCTGTTATGTGTATCCATGTTGTAAATAGACCAATGTAAACAAAATACTAATGCTGAATAAAAATGACATATTTTGTTTGCAGATAATTGACATTTTTACTTTGTTGAAATTAACTGTGAGTTCTTCTGAAAACTAAAGGTAAAAAGATAAAACCGTGAATGAAAAGTCGAGACATATTCTACTGTAACTACAATCAGACTGTTCATTTTCCGATCCTTTCATTGGTCGTTGCCTGTTAACGGTACAGCCTACATGTCATGTATATGAGACTCAACATGACTGATGGTGATTACAGCGGTCAAACCTGCCAGACTCCATTTGGTCAGGGATGTATAGGCTTTCTGTCGGGAACTGTTTCCAAGCAGCAAGAGGTTCTGTAGGTATCAAATGGTAGAATCATCTAAAGTAGCCAACTGCACACACACACACAAAACAACACAAGCCGGGTGGATAGATAGTGTTATCTAATGCTGTATACTCGTGCTGAGTGAGGCGGGGGTAACAAAACACCCGGCCTGGTACCCTGCCTCGCTCACTGGCCCTGTTAATTATTCACATTGCCTGCAGGGGCCTGCAGACCTCACACATACACTCACACTCACAGTCCAACGCATCTGCAGGTATGTTTAATTTACGTTCCTGAAGTTGTTTTTCTTTTGTTGTCGCTGGTGGCCAAATCGGGAGCTGCTCTGTTAACTGAGACGGGGAAAGAAATGAAGGGCCTTTGCTGATGAGGAATCTGATATGCCTGATGCACAGCAGGCATCATTCATGACATCCTCCATTCATCCTCAGCCAGTCCTCCCTCCTCAGACCTTGTAATTGCCTATTATCTACCTCTCCTCTCCACCTCAAAGGACAATCATCAGGAGCAATTAAGCACTTTGTGTTGGACAAAGTGGGCTCACTGCACTGAGTCACAGTCCTCCCTTCTGCACAAGATCTGAGTGATGGATGTGCCAATAGTTTGACAACAGGGTGTGCTCTAATCTTCTGCATACTGACATTCCCAGTCAGTATGTGAGTGAAGCTGAGGGGATTAAGTTGTGATTTTGAGTGTGCGTGTCTCTAAGGATGCTGGATTTAGCTTATTAGGGGCTGTGTGTGTGAGTGACATGCCTAAGGGTACAGCCCAGCTTTCAAACTGTCGATTTACCTTGTTGGACTTTGATTAAAGACGGCCTCCCTTCAGTGTGTATTTATCTCAGTCACAGCGCATATATACCCAGAGCTTTACATATGGATCTGTACATAGGCACTGATAAATGCAGGGGTAATCCCTCACTGGTCAGAAAAGCCTTTTCAGATGATTCCACTGTAACCATTACATGAACTATGTAGTGGCCAACCAAGCAAAAGAAAACAACAAAAGGATAGTGTTCAATGTTGCATAAAAAGACACAAATTATATAGTATCAAATATGAGTTTCCTTTCCTCAAAGTACATCTGAAAAATTGGGGATTGTCATTTGATCAGGGTTTGGCATATGACACTGTCAATCAGAGGCTGGATCTGCGATCAGCTGACCTTTAATGGTCCAGTGAAAAACCAGGGCAGCCTGAAAAGTCACAGCCTGCATACAGCATAGAAACACTTACATTAGACTTGTTTTGAATGGATTTATCCTATTCAGCTTTTTCCAATATCAGTAGATCTGTCCACCAATACTGGAGCGCTTCCTTTACTGGTCTGATTATTTTGCAGCACTTTGTAGCATTTTTTTTAGCTGTGCTTATTTCATTTTAAAGTTATTTTATATTTGTCATATGTTAGGGTCAATGCAATACTCACAGAAAACAATAACTGCTTTTGAACGTGGTTAAAGAATAAAGTGTCCTGTATGGTAGCCCAATGTGTAGTACAGATTTAAAAAAGATCACATTTAAAACACAGAAAGTTGCCATCATGGGGTACGAGTTAAGAAAGGGAAAAAAGCATCAAAAGAAAGAAAATTATTCACACAAAGAACAAATGATAAAGATCTGATTGAGCCTCTGTTGTGGCCTAAGTTGCAAAAACACAGAGTATGTTCGGCTGCCTTCTCACGGTGTGAAAACGTAATACTGTCAACACTGGAACAGCAAAAAACCAAGGAAATACAGCAGAGAAACGTTTCTACCGTTTCAATCACACACCTGTGTCTGCCCCTGCCCTCCAAAAGACTGAAGCTCTGCCAGAAATGACTTCTTCGAAGGGTTGAAGACGTGTAACCTTTGTGAACAAAATCCTGAATCAATACAGACAAAAGAAAACAAGAAAATAGATCCATCAATTTTTACCCAATTTCACAGTCAGCCTCCAATGAATGTGATTTGACATTTTCGTTCTCATATTTGCTTTTCCATATTTGCATTATGTGAATGCAAAACCAAATTAGTCTTGCTCTCCTGAACAAAAACAGCCCAAATCCAAGTATGTATTTTTGGATTTTAGCTAGTTTATCACCGCCGAGCAGGGTGCTGCAGTGTGTGCAGCATGTACTTGCTCTTTAAGCTAAAAATATTTGTTTTGCTTCTGTAAGCATCAAGCACAGAAGCTTGTACTGCGTGTTAGCCTGTCACCCTGGAGAAAAGAAACAAGTATGCAGACAGTAATGACTCATGCACCCAATATGGTCGAAAAAGCTAAAAGATGCTGCAAAAAGGTTTTTTTTTTTTACTCTCTTTTATTGGCTTCATTTCCTCTTTCCTGCTATCCTAGAGTTAGACCGAGAACAGATCTGATGACAAAAGGCTGGTATGAGCACAGCTGAGGGCAGATAGTAAAAAATATATATATTAAAAAATGGTCAAGAAAACTGGTGGACTTGGCAAAGAGATAATCCTGCAAGTTCCTCTTTCTTCCACTAGAGGGAAGTAGTGTACCATATTCAAATACACAGTTCTCCTCACTCTTCTGTGTCTTCTCTATCCAGCTATTCTCTCTGCTTCAACCAACAGCTGATGGACCTGTTGACTGGTGAGCCAACTTTTTGAAGCTCTGAGTTCTGATGTAAAGGCCTCGCAATATCTTCAATGCGTGTGCGTGTGAACGTGTGTGTGTGTGTGTTGCTTCCTGTGGTTTCTTGTGTGGAGTAGACTAGCTGCTGTTGTCATTCTGGCCCACTCTTGACCAGATGTAACTCCTATGAAATCTCCCTCTTTGAAAACTCCAAACTGGATCACAGATGTAGCCGGGTCATAGTAGAAAAAGTTCATACTGAGGTTTTCGAGTATTACATGTGTGTACTTGGTACTTGGTTAAGGCTCTGTCAGCAGCCTCACTGACAAGACGTAACAGAAAAACAAATAACAACCAATAAAAATAATAGCAAATATGGCATGTGTTTACATGTTTATTCATTTGCATGTGTGTTTGCGAGCGTTTCGAACATGTGCGCGTCTGCACGTCAAAGATAGATGGAGCCCTGTCAACAGCGTCGCCATGGAGATAAGAGAAGCCTGACAGCCAGGGAGAGAGGATGACAGCTTTTATATCAATCATACTGACTTATAAACGTGTGTGTAAGTATGTGTCAGTGAGTTGAAGAGGTTAGGAGAGGGTATTGAGCCTGAATCAGAAATAAATCAATGTCATGTGGTTTTTATGTCAACTGCTGCTGTCAGTTTGGCCTCACCTCTCGCCGTTATGTCTAAACTTCAGTGACCACATGAAAAATCACACACGCACACACACACACATACAAGGAGCTATGACACACAGACAGACAGCTGCCAGTGTGTGTCACCCATTTCTAAGTGCCTGGACAGCACCCAGAAGGAGCGAGTTGGCCAAATGTTGTTCTGGCAAGGAGATTTATTTTCTAGCTTCTCTCTGATCCATCTCTCTCTGTCTCATTTACTTTCTCCTCCTCCTCCTCCTCCTGTATTCCTTCTCCTCTTCCTACAAGTTCCCCCTTTCTTCCTTTTCTTTCCTCACTCTTGTCTTTTTATGCTCACTTTCATTCCCCCCGCTTGCCATCCCGGTCCAAACGGAGTCTTAGTAAATCGGTGAGCTGATGCGGCGTATCTGTGTGGAATTGGGAATTCAATTTGAGAAAATCAGGCTTTTGAGTTTTCAGCCAGATATTTAATTATAGGGGTTGAAATATGGCTGTGTCACTGCAGGGGCACGGTGGGGAGGGTAATGTGACTAAGTAAACAATAAATAAGCACTAAATAAACACAAAGTCAATGCCATGCCTGATTAGAAACATAACACCCACTGCCGCCCTTGTTAAACCTCCCATAATTACTTATTTTTTCTTCCGGCCAAAAAAAAACCTCACAGCCTGTGTGCTCACACCTGGAAATATATTAGGAATTTTATCTGAATCCTTCGCTCCTTCTGCTGAGGATCTCAGACAGTAGCTGAGAGGGACGCTAGAAGTGAGATGTAAAGATAGGGAGGAAGGAGGAGTGGTTTGAAGATAGTAAGATAGTAATCTAACCTCCACTGTGATTAGGAAGTGACCTCATAAGCCTGCTGTCTGCACTGATAAAGAACAGGAAGAAACACACACATCCTCCACTATACCCCTTATTTTTAAACTTAGTGAATCATTTGATTCTTATCAGATGTTCATTTATTTCATTTTTCTTGTCTCTCTCGCTCTGGGTTTTCTCGCTTTTCATACTTTCCTCCCAAAGAGCGGCGCAGAGATAAAATCTCACCATGATCTGTTCTCAGAATCTGCGTGCACAAAAAAACCCTCCATTTTTTTCCCCTCTTCTTCTTTGTTCCACTTAAAGTGCTTTCTTCAAGTTTAAAAAGATAGGTTCAAACAAGGTAGAGAGTTGCCGGATCTGGAAGTTTTTTACGGTGTATTTGCTCGGGTCTAAATAAAAAATGTAGCTGATGTCATTTTGCTGACTCATCTTTTAAGACAGGGAGTGAAGAAAAAAATCGATGATGCTTCGAGGCCTAAGAGCATTCACGAGAAGAAGAAGGCAACGGCTACCTATCTGCTTTAAGTGATCACTTTCAGCAGATGATAAGATCCTGACTGAATTTCGTGCTCTTTGCTCCACTCATGTTCGTGAAGTCATCATCCGGATCCAAACAACTGTGTTAGCGGACTTGTCAGATATCAGATTTCCGCACTGA